CGGGGAGCGGGCTGCAGGAAGGGTGTCCTTCGTCCTGGACCTGCTGGGGACCTCGAAGGAAGGGAGCTAGATGGGGAGGGAGCCTCAATAGAGTCCCCTTTTAAAGTGCTTGCTGGCCGGGCGGTGGCGCAGGCCTTTAATCCCAGCACTCGGAAGGTAGAGCCAGACGGATCTCTGTGAGTTCGAGGCCAGCCTGGTCTACAGAGTGAGATCTAGGACAGGCACCAAAACAACACAGAGAAACCTGTCTCGAGCCCCCCCCCCCCAAAAAAAAAATAAAGTACTTGCTGCCTGATTGAGTCCTTAGCTCCAGAGCTAAGGGGAGTCCAGAGCTGGCCGGAGGATGGATGTTTTGAGTCTGCAGGAACCTCGAGGCCCACGGAGCAAGGGGAGTCCCTGGGAGGAGCAGGCATTCCACCTTGTATGCCTGGAGAGAAGGTTGGTTAGGTGGGGAGGAATTTGAGGAGATAGGGTAATGTGTAATGAAAACAAAATGCAATTTGTTTTCAGAGTTCTGGAGGCTGAGGGTCTAGTAGTGTAGCTCCATTGGTGAAGAGGGTGTCTAGCATGCAGAAAGGCCCTGAGTTTGATTCCCCAGGGTGGCATAAAATCAGGCATGAAGGTGCACATCGATAGCCACAGCGCAGGGCAGGCAGAGACAGGAGGATCAGAAGATGAAGGTCATCCTTGGCAACAGAGTAAGTTCAGAGCCAGCCCGGGCTATGTGACCCTGTCCCAAGACCAAACCAAACCATTGTTCTGGCAGTTGAGAAGGCCAAGATCGAGACCTGGTGGCATTTGGTGGCTGGGGAGGCTCTGTGTCCCTTCCTATGGTGGCTTGTTGCATCCTCCAGGGGAGACACCTGTGTGTCCTCACATGTGTGTGTGGGGGGGGAGGGGGGTTGAGGACAAAAGGCTGCCTCCTCCAACCTCTGGCTCTTCTACGAGGATGCCAAGTACTGTTGATGGGACGGCATCATCCAGACCGTGGTGGTTTCCGGAGGAGGCAGCCCTCTGAGAATGAGGCCGCATGAAATGAACTCCAGAGAGAACCACGCATTTAAAGTGACAGTGGCGTCCAGTTAGCTTGTCCCCAGCACATGTCCATGAGGAAACGGGCTGGGCATGTGCACCTCTTCCAGTTACCCCAGATGTGCTTCTGGAGGGAACGTGGTTCCCACTCAGGGGGGTGTCTCCTCTAGATCAGTGCTGGAGTTGGTCCTTAGCTGTCGGTGCTCTCTGGGGAGAAGGGGGGGGATGGGGGAAATGATCTGTAGTTAGGTGGGGTGTAGCTAGAGGAAGTAGGTTACTTGGGGTGGGGTGCCTTTGAAGGTGATACAGAGCCCCTGTCCCTTCCCGTCTCGACTTCCCATCTACCTAGAAGTAAACAACCTTGTTTCTGCGCGCTGCCCGTTGCCAAGATGGCTCTACCTTCACTGGGACCCAGAAGTGACAGACTAAAGGACTGGGCGGAAATCCTTCCTTCTTTAAGTTGTTTCCATCAGGTATTTTCTCACGACGACACAAAAATAACCATCACAGTCTGCAAAGCCTGGGACAGCACAGGTGGGAGCCACTGGGCTTCCTGGGTCCCCAGTGGCCTCGGGACACAGCACAGGGCAGTTTTCTCCCACTGCGTGGAAACTGCCTTTGTGGAGTCGCATCCCAGGTGCCGCTCCTGACACAGCTCCGGAGTACCATGCAGACAGCTTTACCTTGCTTATGTGGTCTGTGGCCTTCTGTACTGACCAGATGGCGTTCCTCCCTGATGTCACTTGAAGCACCAGGAAGGGCCACACACCGGGCTTCAGCTCCCAGAGGTCTGGGCGGTGGAAAGCAAATGAGATGCTGGGGAACTGCTAAGAACTTCAGAGAAAGTGTGGATGGCACCAGGCATGGGGGCGCACGCCCTTAATCCCAGTGCTCAGGAGACAGATGGAGCTGAAAGTTTTTCTGTGTCCTGCCTCGGCCCAAGGTCAGGACAAATGTCTCTCATCTGCCAGTCCTGCAGCCACTTGGGCTCAAATAAACATACAAAGGCTAATATTATTTTTAAACTATGGCCATGGCAGACTTTTTTGTTATCTAGTTATTTTTTGTTTGTTTGTTTTGTTTTTCGAGACAGGGTTTCTCTGTGTAGCTTTGTGCCTTTTCTGGATCTCGCTCTGAGGACCAGGCTGGCCTCAAACTCACAGAGATCCACCTGGCTCTGCCTCCCAAGTGCTGGGTGGCACCACCACCACCACCGCTTGTTATCTAGTTCTTATATCTTTTTTTTTAAATTTATTTATTTATTATGTATACAGTGTTCTGTCTGCATGTATGTCTACAGGCCAGAAGAAGGCACCAGATCTCATTATAGATGGTTGTGAGCCACCATGTGGTTGCTGGGAATTGAACTCAGGACCTCTGGAGGAGCAGTCAGTGCTCTTAACCTCTGAGCCATCTCTCCAGCCCCCTAGTTCTTATATCTTAAATTAACCCATTTCTGTAAATCTATACTTTGCCACGTGGCTCGTGGCTTACCGGTACCTTACATCTTGCTTCTTCAGGCAGCGACTGGCAGCGTCTCCCCTGCTCTGTCCTCTTCCTTTCTCTCTCTCTCTCTCTCTCTTTAGAACGTCCCGCCTAACCTTATTCTGCCTCACCGTTGGCCCAACAGCTTTATTTATCAACCAGTCAGAGCAATATTTGGTAATCATCCCTACTGTAAATAGTTTTGTGTTAGGTTAGGTTTTTCTTATTTAGTAGACAAAAGGGGGGAGATGTAGTGGGTAGCTGTTCCAGCTTTGACCTTGAAGCACTCACTGCCCCTAGTGTGACAGCAGGTAACTTCCACACCTACCTATGACCTGCCCCTGGGGCGTGGCTGAGAGGGAGCCCCTTAAGACTTGAGGTGTATATGTGCTTGCCCCTTCTGGATACCTCGTGGTCCTGGAAGCTGGATGATAGACCAAGCCAGATTTCTCCACTGGATGGTATCTCATCTCTCCAGAATCCTATAACCAACCCCTATTGGCTGTAAGTCACCCCAGAAATAAACCTCTCTTGATTACCAGATAAATTACATGGAATTGCCTCATTAATTACAATTATAGACAGAGACGGGGATCTTTGCAAATTCAAAGCCAGCTCGGTCTACACAGTGAGTTCCAGGAAAGCAAGGGATACACAGAGATGCCCTGTCAGCTGGGCAGTGATGGCGCACACCTTTAATCCCAGCACTTTGGGAGGCAGAGGCAGGTGGATCTCAGTGAGTTCAAGGCCAGCCTGATCTGTAAAGCAAGTCCCAGGACAGCCAGGACTGTTACACAGAGAAACCCTGTTTCAAAAAACAAAAACAAACAAACAAACACCGAAAAACCAAAAACCAAAGAACAAAAAGTAAATAAGAGAAAAGGGAGACAGAGTGTCATGGTCCAAATTGGCCTGGAACTCAATATGTAGCTCCAGTATCCTGAAACTCAAGGCACTTCTCCTGCTGCAGCTTCCTGGATGCTGGGATTACAGATGGAGCCACCATGCCCAGCTTATATTGTCCTTCAGCGTGACTGGTAGAAGTGTCTTTAGTGCAGCCGAGGGTACCACAGAAGGGACGTCAGCCTTGATACATTTGTGTTGTTTCCCTCTGCTGCATCACGAGCAACAGAGACTCTGTCTGCTGTTTGTTTCTTCAGACAGGATCTCACTGTGTAGCCAAGGCTGGCTTCAAACTTCCTACCCTCCTGCCTCGGCCTCCAGAGCACCGAGTTGTAGATGCGAACCAATGCTCATCCTAGGTGCTATTGTGCACAGACATTTAAGTGCAGGTCCGGGGCCTGAGTGAGTGGCTCCATCCGAGGCTCTGTTGGTGCCATCTGAAGGTGTGTTGCTTTGGTGTTGGCCAGGCAGCTGGTAGTGTGTGGTGAGCTGCGTCCTGGGGTGGAGGGACTTGGACTGGGGACTGGGGTCTCAAAAATTCAACGTATAGCACAGTGTGGTAGCATTCTGAAATCCTACCACTCAAGAGGAGGATCATGAATGTGAGGCCAGCCTGGGCTAAATACTGAGACCTCATCTCAAAGAGGGAAGAATAGAGGAAGGGAGGGAGGGAAGGAGGGGGAGGAGGAGGAGGAAGAGGAGGAGGAGGAGGAGGAAGAGGAGGAGGAGGAATGAAGGACAGATGAAGGAAAGGAAGGGCCCACCCTGACCAAGGGACCAGCAAGTTGACTCAACGGGTCAACTTGTTGCCAACCCTGAAGGTCTGAGTGGGATCCTGAGGACCCACACAATGGAAGAGAGAACCATCTACAAGTTGTCCTTTGACCTCTACTCATTCCGTGGGGAGTGCCTCTACCCCACATAAGTAAATAAACTTAATGAAGGTTTTAGAAAGGGAAATAAGGCCGAATGTAGGACCAAGTAAGTTCTTGCAGGCCCAAATGTGTCCACTAGATGGCATCAAAGCTAATAAGATCATCTTCCCAGGCGGACTCCCAAGGACAGCGAACGAGGTCTGACCCCTGTGCTCCTGGGAGACGTGGATGTTCTCTTGGAAACCTGGCTGAGCCGCATATAATTCTGAGAGACTGAGACTTGGGGAGTATGCTGGCTGTGGATGGTTACAGAGGCTGTGTCCTGGCTAGACATGGGGCTGGGATGCGGGTTGCGGCACAGACTGCGACAGCCCGGGGGAGCTGCAGCTTCTTTCTAATTTGCACTGGTTCAGAAGGCGCGCCCAGGGAGGAAGGGTAGGAACCTGCAAATCTGGGAGGGCTGGGGAACATGGGCACCGCAGAAAATGCAGGTCCAGCTGGAAGACCCGCCCTATCAGGTATGAAGGCCCAAGGATGACACCACAGATCCCCCTGCCCCAAATGGAATGACTCAGTGGACATCAGGCAGGGTACAGGTACCCACATAAGGGTTGTGTCTTTGTCCT